TATTTGGTTGAGGCAAATGGCATGTTTCCAAATGAACAGGAGGGTTTTATATATCTGGAACTGCTTGTTAAGTTACCCATCTTCATTTCCTGGAAGCCAAGATGATACCTGTTGGTGTTGGAAAGCATTTCATTTTTCTTAAGGGCTGGCCTCTCTCCTTTACATCTCCTTTGCCTGCTGAAAGAACTAACAACATTTTGCACCATGATTACCCTGAAGGGTGATTTCTGCTGGTTGAGGGCACTGCAACCTGTTGATTCTCCTGCACCTTTTGTTAACCTTCAGTACAATCAACACAAGGCATCTTGCCACGACAGGGCTTTAAAAGGCCCACTTTTAATATGGCTCCAGTTCCTTCTGGAAGGATGGACCTCAACGACATACCGAGATACTTCTGTTCAGTCTCATGGTTTTGAGAGCCAGAACTTAGAAAATGTACTTTTCAGGACTTCAACTCCACTGGCTATGTTGGCTGGAAGTTCTCTGAGTTGCAGTCCCCCCAAAAAGTGTCTATAATGCCCCAGGTGTGTACTTTAACAGCATCTACATGAAACAAGTGACTTATGTCATCTAGAAATCTGAACTACAATGTCATGAATACATGGATGAATTGGAGCTCTATCTGTCTGCTTCATCTGGTGGCCACAAGGAGGCTGTAGAAATACTGAGCAGCTGTCTAGTGTGAAAATCAATACAGTTGATCACTGCTTTCTGTGTTTTGCAACTCCTGCTCAAAGACACAAGTACACAGTTTATGAGTGGACTTATGGGGGCACAGACAAAATGGTGGCTAGCCTTTTACTAGTTTAGGATTGCTGCTGTGGAACCAGTCTACATAGAAAAAGTACAAGCCACCTGTGATCTGGTTGCTGAGATGTGTCACCCCCATCACTTTGTGGAGTGTTGCTTTTAAAGAGCGTTCTGTGTCATCAAACAATACAGAATGCAGCCACTAGATTCTTACTGGGACCAGGCGTTCAGGTTGTATATGCATATGCAGGAGCAGTTGCACTTGCTATGAAGGGTGTGCACTGTCTTTGGCAGAAGCCCATTTGATTAATTGGTCCAATTTTCAGGTCCAGGTTGAAGCAGAATGGGAAAGTTTGGTTCCAGAGTAAAGCAAAGTGAATGTACTTATTGATTCACATCCAGGGTGACAAGTGAATGGGGCGAGGCCCAGATGGCTACAGATGTTTTTAAAGCAAAATGTAAAGGCATCCAGTATGGAAGGAAGCTGGCTGGATAAGTCAGTAGTTACTCGTAGGTATCTAGCTACAGAGCCAGAGGTTGGGAGTTTGATTCCCTACGGTGTCTCTTGGGAGAAGGGCCTGCCTGTGTGGCCGTGGGCAAACTGCACAGTCCCAGGAGGCCCCCAGAAAAAGAGAATGGTAAATTATTTCTGTGTATTCTCTACCTGGAAAATGGAAAAGGATCACCACAAGTCAGAATTGACTTGACAGCACATGTTTCTTACTAGTAGTAATATGGAAGGCCCTCAAGTTAGTTGTCTGAAATGTGGCAAATTATTTCCCCTCTTTTAGGCCTTTCATATCTCCTAATTTATGTTCACCAGTGCAAAATAGACATAGAGACGAATATGAACATAGCACCACATGTGCCTGGGCGATTTGGACCCTCCACCCCAAAACCAGTCGATCAGCGTACCACTCGCTGCATGATGATGGCGTAGGGACCCTCCACCCCAAAACCAGTCGGTCAACGTACCACTCGCTGCATGATGATGGCGTAGCCATCATCATCTGTGATATGCCAATCACAGATTTAGCCTGGCTAATGCTTCTCCATCTCCCTGCACAAATGGCCACTCAGGAGCTGAGTGGGAAGACTCGTCATCCTGACCCTCGCCAGAGTGGTTGGTCGTGCAGGGAGGTGGGGAAGACCCCAAAACCAGTCGGTCAACGTACCACTCGCTGCATGATGATGGCGTAGCCATCATCATCTGTGATATGCCAATCACAGATTTAGCCTGGCTAATGCTTCTCCATCTCCCTGCACAAATGGCCACTCAGGAGCTGAGTGGGAAGACTCGTCATCCTGACCCTCGCCAGAGTGGTTGGTCGTGCAGGGAGGTGGGGAAGCGCCGACAGGACTACTTGTGCCACAATTGGCACAATGTTAATGGTGATGGCTATATATGCTGTGTGACAGTGGATCGGCTGGTTGTGAGGGAAGGTCCAAACAGCCCAGGCACCTGTGCTGCCAATATTCGTATTCATCTCCCCTGGGAAACACATACAAATATCCCAATTTAAGTGCAAAACCAAAAGAAAAAAGAAAAATTGTAACCATTTTAGTTTTTCAGTGCAAATTAGTGGAACCCTGGTGATCCAGATAAATAAATGGACTTGTATACAGAGCACAAATCACTCTGGACCAAACTTGGATCTGTTCCAAATATTCGTAATTACCGTATCTCTAAACGAAATTGAGGGACTTCTGCACAGCTCTCTTTGCAACCTTTTTATTTCCGGGTCACTTTACTATTTATTATCTATATGCCGCCTTTTTCCCTATAGGAGAAACTAAAACTACGAGGGGGTGCTGATAAATATTGAGCCCTTCCCAGAAAAAAATTGAGCTAGGAAGCTGTAACTGCCACACTGTTCTACATATTCCCCCAGGAAGTCAATGCACTTGTGACATCTGCAGCTTCTTAAGTCCCTGCAAATAACATTCTTCTGACTGCTGGTGTAACCACTCATTTGCAGCATTAGTTGCCTCCAGAACACTCCCAAATCATTGTCCTTTTAGCTGTTTTTTGAGTTTGGGGAACAGATAATAGTCAGAAGGAGCCAGGTCGGGAGAATAGGGTGGATGGGACATCACCTGAAAGCCTAAGAAGGTCAATTTTGCGATTGTTTCACCTGCAGTTTGTGACGAGGTGTTGTCATGCAACAGGATGACACCTTTGGAGAGCTTTCCTCAACATTTTTCCTTGATGTTTTGCCTCAACTTCATCAATAAAGCACAGTAATATTTTGCATTGATGGTTGAACCCTGCTGGAGGTTATCCACCAGCAGAACTCCCTTCTTATCCCAAAAAACTGTTGCCATTTGCTTCTGCACTGACCTTTGCACTCGGAACTTCTTTGGCCTGGGGGAACCACTGTGCCTCCATTCCTTAGACTATTCCTTTGTCTGAAGATCATAACAGTAGATCCATGTCTCATCACCAGT